GGCAGGTTGTCTCACTCGCCTGTCAAGCACTGAATTGTCACTGCTTATAAGACGGAAGGCACAGGAAGGAAAAAAGCTATATTCCCTGAGGATTTCTACCAAGGATATCCAAAAAAAAATGCGAGTCTGTAAAGCGCAATAAATTCTGTATCCAAACATATATTTCACATAAATGCCATTCAAAAGACAAGCAGGCTTTTTCTTGTTAAGTGGTGTAAAATAGGGTTGTCTTTTTTTTCAGCAGAGATCTCTAAGCTGTTTATTTACCTTTGGATGCACTGAAGTATTTTCCCAGTAAGCAGTTGTGCCGCCATAAAGTGCAGATAAAGCTGTAAAGTAGATTACATCTGCCCCAGGCGACCAATGTAAAGTATTCATGTGACTGAAGTCACAGAGAAAAACCAATGGAATCAAACAGCATGGATGAACTTAAGGGCATCGTTTTTACTTGTGCATGCCGATTCTTGAACAAAACATTTGTATAGGTTTAGCTCTGCCAGATGTAGCCTAGTAGTCAAAACAACCACAGAAAAATACCTCTCTTAAAATATCCCGCTGGCATTCCCCTCGCACTGGCCATCTCTGCTTAAATGTCCAGTTGTTCAACTTGTTTAACACAGCTGTCAGCAAATATGATTCAAATATATTTAAAGAGAGGGTTTTCATCTTTTACACAAGCAGAAATAATAGCCGGCTTCATGTATGACATCACAATGCTGATGTCAACCTGCTGCTGATATATTTGAAAACTAGGATTTCTTTATTTAATTTTATGATGTGAATGATTTTTACTATCATTTCAAACATGTATGGTTTTATTCGTCCAATGTATTAGTGAACATATGGGGAAGGTTATCACAACATCTTTACTACACTTAGTGCACAGCACTGGCATTACTTTGCCCTTGACTGTAAATTTTATGTGTTGATAAACAGTCATCTTTATTGCTGATGGAGTAGAAAAGATTGCACCTTTGGCTAGAATCCACAACACTGAGCTTTTATGTTTATTGCAGAGTTAGTGCAAGATGCTTTGGTTTATGTATATTTTATTGAGGTTTTTTCCCATCCACACTTTTATGAGTAGGGGTCTTACCTTCAATTTCTTTTGCATGTATGAAAATTATAGGGTAATACGGTATAAAAATGAGCTTAGCCAGCTGTTAAAATGTCAAAGTTAGATACATGTTGAATTGCATGGCTGGCTACGGTAGCCTGTGACATACACTACAGTTTGTGGCCGCTACATTTAGCTGGCGCTGTTTCTCATGACACTTTCACATTTTTTTTTGCGTTGAATCACGATCCTTTCATCCAAATAAAGGGCGTATTTTATCCACAGTTATCATTTATGAGCTAGTGACAATAATAGTGCAACAATTTCGGCTGAACTTGAAATTTCATATGCAGCAGCATGACAAACGGTGTTCTGACGATTCATGCCACCCATCGAGATTTGCTACTGGTTATGCGCATGTGCAGACACAGGTTTTTTTTTTTTACATTTTCATGTGTTATAATCTTTTACAGTATATGGTTATAATGTAATTTCCCTTTAAAAAATGCTAACACCGGCAGGGTGAAATCATCACGAGTTGGTCTTCTTTAGCTTCCACAAGCCTGTTATCGATCATCAATGATGCGTCTTGCCAGTAAGCAATTCTTTCATACCAGCTGAATTTACACACAGTGTAGTAGGCTACCAAACATTCCCGTTCTATAAAAATACATTTATTCGCCATCCATTTTCCTCAAACCACTCGAAAGCTTTTAAAACAAAACATGTAGCCTTCTGCATCAGATATGTTTGAGATTGTTTGAGAATAAAATCCACAATCTTTCTCTCTCGCGCCCGCGCACAAACACAGTGGCTGTATGAGTCATCGGATTCAAAAGCAACAGAGGCAGTGGGAGGCAGATCTTATCTTTATTTTATAGAATTGACCTTTTGCTAAACTGGCAGAGAGGCAACATTATACTATCATATCTTTGGTTACTATAAGTTAGGGCTTTTGTTACTTTTGGAACCTCTTTTGGTAAAAATGTGTCTGCCAAGAACATAAAAGTCTATTGTTTTAGGAAACTGATCCCTCATGATTGTAGAATATTTTCCCAGCATGCTAAAAAAAATTACACTAATAATTCACCCTGGCAAGATTCAATGTTTGTTTACCTAACGTGCATACTTTTCAGCCCTAGATAATATGCCATATTCCTCATAAATTCCTGCAAAAGGGAGAAAATTGAAAACACCCGGAGACATTTTTAATAATCATCAAATAGCAAGTTATTTTTACTTTCTGCGCAGTAACAGTTTCCATATTTCCCAGAAATTGTATTATTCATAACATTTATTTTCGTGGAATTGTGAACACATACCATATTTCAAATGAACTAGTCAATATTTGAAATGGATCAAAAAAGGTAATCAAAGTTGTCATAAAACAAGAATAGGTATTGTTAAAAATTCATGTATAACTTTGATGAAACGTTGATGATACTAATAATGTTTGCTTATTCACAAATGTGTCAGCATATATTTATATAGGCTTATATAACAGTATGACTTGTCGATGGTGATGGTGTTTTTCAATGCTTTAATCCTGTCATGAATTTTCTGGGAATTTGCATTACAATTACAGACATACCTTCCATTTCATTGTACAAAGGAAGTACAAACCAGTCTGACTTGCAAATTCAGGGAATTAGTTGCTTTTATTTGCACATTTCAGGAATAATGCCTGTTATGTATACATCATGCAAAATGTGTTTGTTTAAACCATACTTTGCTTATTATTAAATTATTTCGTTCCCTTCTGGTTTGAATAAACAAAGATTTGCATATCTCAAAAGTCCTAATGTCAAGCCCTGCATTACAATTCTCAGTTGATCTGAGAATTGTATAGACTTAATTATTTACTTATGTTAATACACTAACTTGACATTTGAGGAAAGGATGGACAATGAAACATGGCACAATTCTCACATTATTATTTTGATTCCATTTTTTCATTTAACATATGTGAAGCAAAGTGTATAGTAAGAGTTTGTAGTAAATTAAATACACCAGACATTGATCTTTTTAAATGCATTTAATAACTTTTTGTTTGGATACATTGCACATTGCTTTGAGGCATATTAAGATTCTGATATAAATATCAAATATAAATATTTGTGTAATAAAATAATAGGTAAAATACAATAATAGGCTCAAGCGAGAGTTTAATGTGCTACGTTACGTTCCTCAACATATCTTTCTTGGATACATAACGCTTAGCCTTCAAAATATTTAACAATTATATTTAACAAGCAAGGTTGTTTATAAATTAAAACAATAATCACGAAAGGCAGAACCATTAAAAAATAGAGGTCTGGTATGTGTAAAATGTTTATTTCCAACGACACGCAATCAACACCCACCTTAACAATAGAGATGATGGGTCTTCGAGAACAATGGACGAAAGAAAGGACAAACAATCCAGGCTGATTTAGGCATTGGGAAAGACGCATGACATCCAACGGAAAACGGGTATTTTATCAGTACAGTTAAAATTGCCAACACGAACAAACCCGACTGCGCCGTCTGGCATTTACTGTCGCTCCGCTGCCCATGAACGTGAACGCGCTCACTCAGAGAGAGCCATGACTGCAGTGCACTGATGACCATGCAGCGTCTCGAGACCAACGGTTTCCACAGCAAATCGGTGCTATTGTTCCCGCGGGTCCTTGGAGAAAACCACCAGTCCTGAAGCTCAGCTTTTCCCGAAAGTGTTGTCATTTCGGTAGGAGTTGCAAAGGAGGCATGGTCTTTTAAAATCTGACAATTCACGTAGGTCTTTTCCTCCTATGTGACCCGTTTCCACTGCCTTGTCAAGGACGCCTTGAAACCGAACCGAGGCGCACCAAGGGGTGGTTAGAAACCGCACCCGTTTTTCCCCTAATCATCTTTTTTTTCCCCCAGTGTGGAAAGGTCTCGTGAACTGATCGATCACCGGTTCAAGTTCAGATGAAATCGTGATGTCATGTTTCAATGTCTGACTTTGGAATTGAATGGGTGATTCAGAAAACTGGAAAAATAATCTTTGATATTTATTTCTTGAGCTTGTTCATTCAAAGGCGGTGTATGCAAACCATCACACCCGGTTAATTAATTTAAGTAAATTTAAATAAATAACACGTCTTCGGTAAAGTGGGTTAGAGAATCTCATGTGTTCACATTATTCAAATAAGACTATATATTTCCATGTATAAAACCCATTTATACTTTTTGAAAATATACTTTTTAAATAATGAAAATTGTTTGGCCATTTTACAAAAGCCAAATCTTTTAACAAAAGCTAAAACTAAAAATATTATCTGGAGATATGGTTTGACAGGTTATTTTTCCGTTTGTCTTATCCAGTCTATGTCTTTCATAATATTAAATTATTTCTGCGTTCTCGAAAATACCCAACACCAGAATGGAACGGGAATAAGAACATATAATACAAGATAAAGTGTTGAACATAATAAATATATTAGGTTAACGTGTAACTTTGGCTGCCCCCCAAAACAAAACATCTTTTTTTCGCGGAACCCCATGCGATACCCGGACCCAACTTCGAAAATCCCTGGTCTGAGCTACTGAGTAGGTTTACTACAACAACAACTCATACCATGAGATTGGAGTGGACTCCTGTATAGTGTGTGTTCATTGAGTCAGCTATAAAACACCCAAGTCCGCATCCTTCTTTTTTAATGACTCGAATTTGAGCGGCCTTGAAACTGCCCTCCAAAAATTCTTCCCTTGTTTTGATCATCGAAGTCTCGAAGGAAGGGGAGCTTGAAACAGTTCAACCTCCTTGTTCCATAATTGGTTTTATAGAGCTGGCGAGTAGCCAACGTGTTTACATGGAGTTGATTGACACATCTGTAGACCAATCGGATGCTTCGCCGTAGAACGTGTCGCGTGAGATTCGTGGAGGCGGAGCGTGTTAAACAATGCTTGTTTCATTGCAGAAGAGTTTACCGAGAGCTACAGTGGTTTGAACGCAGGGCCTTCCCCCCGTATGTGCTTTCGCTCTGCGTATATACGGATGGTTTGTAAATGGAGTCAAAGAAATTTTCCAACACACGTCTCACGGATTTTGCGAAGAAACTGGATTTTATAAACTGAGTCGCCATTTCAAGTAAGATGTCGCCAGCCTTATCTCCGCACATGAACCGTCACATGATGTTTATGAAGCAAAAGCGGAGACACTTTTAAAAGAATGAGCTGCTTTCGCGATGAAAAGGCGGGCGATAGTTTGACTAACACGCTTTAGTAGTGCTTTATCTGCAACGCATTAACGTTAGACCTTGTGTGTTTGTTCGAGCGATTAACGTTTGGGCGTAAAAGTTTCGTTGCTGGAAATGGAAACGGGAAAGTTTGAAACGTGGCTTGGTGTTGCCATCATGAAGCATGGCTGTGTAACATACGTATTTTAACTTCTGATTCGTCGTGATTTTCATTCGTGCTTGTTTTCGTACCGATTACTTAACCTTGGCGTTTGCTGTAACGTTCAAGCTACTAAAAGTTGCCGCGTGAAAAGGTCGAAAAAGGCGTTTCATTACAGTGCGTGAAATAATAATAACTACGACTTCGAAATGCGTTAATTCATATTAGGAAAGGAAGTGGAACTTATGGTACTATATTTTAGTAGCTAATGTTGCCATCTGTTTAAAGTTAATAGCGCCTAAAATTACGGTGAAGCTGCAGTTACAATGTTCTGCAGGGTATTACATGATTCAAACGGTTTGTATCTGGATTAAAATCTAGCTTTTAGTTTTCAGGGTACTACCGTCATAATTTAGACATTTATACATTACAGATTTATGTGCGTAATGCCGTAGCAGCCAATTTGCAGTAGACAAACCTGGTTTGTTTTGATAGAAACCTTTCGCAGGGGTAAATAAGTCCGTAACAAGCAAAAGCAAAAAATAAGTGTTTTATAATCATAAACATGTTTAGTTTATCTAAATGGACACCACACCAACTAGACATTCGTAAATGGTGGTTGTTACACACGTCCTTTTTCTCGAAATACTTTGTTTTTGTTATTTCGTGAACGCCGCGCGTTGAAGCGCATACGAATGTTCTTGGCCGGTAACGTTAATAGCCAACGAAGATGTTTTTAATGCGTTTGAATGAGCCTATAGGTCACTTATTGCGCGTATAATCGGTCAAGTCCCCACCAAAAGGCTGGATTTACTTCCAATATACTGCCTGCATGCAGGTTACGCGAGGCATTGCCGTCTGTTGATCCTAAAACAGACTTTTCGAGAGTGATTTCGACCGTTTTTTGATGTCTGTTTGCAGCCTCACCACTCGCAATTGAGAAGATTACTCTCTTTTTCCAATGATCTAGTTGATATAAAAACTGCGTCATTATGACAGCACTGCTTGTGTTCGTCTCCATGTAATTTTGGATTCAGTTCGGTAACGTTAGTGATCCGCAGCTATCAAGAATATTTTCTTCTGTTTTGTTTTTGTAGGTCGGCAGAATGCCGGATAAGGACACTGATTTCCTTGGGATTCTAGGGACATTATAGCCATTAAGACTGGCTCATTCGGATTACCCCGATCGGACTGTTTCTTTGATCAAGTTGGGTCATTGTGGATGATGGATGGCCGAGACTTCGGACCCCCCAGATCTGTTCACGTACCGCCGCCCCATCTTTCGGGGCTGCCCATGGAGTCACACCGACTCGGCGCGGCCGCTGCGGCCGGCAGAATACCACCGTCTCCCGGTCATCTGGGCGCGGGCCACCCGGCGGCTCTACACACTGGGAAATATCTTTCATCGGCCATGAACCTACATTCTCACCACAGTAAGTCCAGTTTTAATTTTCCTCCTGTCAGCAAACAACATTCTATTTGTTTTAAAAGTGAAAACTATTACGTGGCTTTCTAACTTTTCGGGCGTCTTGTAAACAATATCTTCGCATTTTTATATCACATGATAAGACTTAACGAAAATATGGGAATGAATATACACTGTTTAATAGTGTTAATAATTATTTAATGCATCATTTTACGTTTATGCGGAAGGTAGTGTATGTATGTGCGCGAACTCGTGTAAAATATGTACAATAATGAATTTATTCACATAGCAATACTCGCGTTCGGTTAGACATACGCACTGTGTCATTGGCGTTCAGCTGTCGTTTTAAACATTTATGCCAAAAGTTGTTTTTAAAAGCAGTAGACTAGCAGCGTTTAAATCACCCGTGTTATAATTCTTCTCTGTTATCTCGCAAACAACATTAAAAAATAAATGAAAACTAAAACCACGGAGAGTAATGCATTTTGTCATTACTTCAGCTTCAGCTGTTTAAGTAAAGCACGAGGTGTGTTTTGGGCAAAAGACCTAATGTTTTAACTTGCAACTATTTAAAATCGACAGTATAGATTTATGACTGAAAATGCCCCATTTGTTTTCCATCACCCCCCCTCCCCCCCCTCCACTGGTTGGGGCAAACACTACAATTATTGCTCTTCTCGAGTGAACTATTGCCTTCCCTGTCACTCCTTTAAGGCGCTGTCTCTGACCATTGTGTTTAAAAATGCTCTTTGAAAGTCCACCCATCATATTAAAGGAAAATTATGTTTGCTAAAATGGTTTTTGTTCTGTTAGTGATATAAAGATCTTGCATATAAAGAGCTGAATTTACTGTCGTAACATGTTGAAATGTTGTATAGTCATGTTATATTTGTTGTAGGTCTTTATTAAGGGAAACACATCTTTATGGTGTGGACATTCATAAGATGCCCAGAGTAACACATTATTTAAGTTAAAATGTCATACCTAATGACCCTTTTCAGGCACAATCCACTAATTTGTACTGCTTATGGACATACTTTACTGTGTTTAATTGGATGGTGAGGAGAACAGTGTGTTGTAATGTCCCTTCAAGGATGAAAAAAAGCTTTATTGTGATTGTTTTAAGTTCAGAGAAAGAGCTCATGGTGAACTATGTATTTCTGCATAGATTTGTGTTTCTGTTACTGTCTCTGAGTTATTGTGAAATGGTGGCCTCTGTCATGTGCACTATTTGAAATGAATGGTATTGCTAAACTAATTCAGTAGCTATTGTTTATTGTTACAGTTGTTAAATTCTAAATTATTTGTAGGTCTTCTTCATTAAACAAAGAACAGTGTTAACTGTTAATGATGCCACATAGAATAGCTGCCTTGTATCCTGGAGCTGGACCAAATGCAAATTACTTGTAACAAATATAGAAGAAACCTCCATCTACATCAAAGGCCATCACAAATGACGACAATGCTGGGATTGTTTGGTGAAGAAGAGAAAAATCGGTAGTGATCCAGTTTTAAAATTAAAAAAGGTGTTCTGTTTTGTATCACTGTTTTAGACTTTCTTTTACCCCTTCCAGATGTTACACTCTCTGCAGATGTCAAATAACCTTTAGATCTCTTAAGGAGATTTAATTTTGTGTAGTAGACTTCGCAGTTTACCCATCCATATTTACCATCTACCTGAGAGAGCTTTTAGTTTTAGTCACCCTCACCTTAACCTTTGACTATCATGACATTTTTACATGTTATCGGATGCATTATCCTGATAAGATTTGGGTAGTGAGTGTAATAAATGGTATTACTGCATCTAACAGCATCTTAGCATTGGATGATTCACTTTCAGAGATGATGGTTTTTATTATTATTGCCTTGAGCTTTGATTCATCTATTTTATTTTATTTTTTATAGAATTAAAAAAAAATAATTTTGAGGCATTGTACATCTAACTTTATCCCGCAATCTCTTACAATAATCATTAGAAACAAGACCTTTAAAGGCCATGTGGAGCTCTTTGCTCTTTTGTTTATTTTTTTGATCTTGCCAATTACGTTGTGATAAAAAATAAAATGTAATTGTAATTCTGTATATAAAAAAGACAACATTATATAAGAGCATTTATTTTAAAACGTACCTCTTCCAAGTGGACATTACACTGACTTCTTATTCATTGAGATGTTTGTTTGTATTTAATGACCTGCCCGCCCGCCGGACTCCCACCCCCCCATAAATAGTCGTCTTGCAGTTGTAATAAGTGTCGGATACATCATGTGTTTATAGAATGACTCAGTTTCCTGGGAACTGTCTGAACATTCCATTCTTTCCAATAATAACTGTTCAATTGCCAAATTTCCTCTGTTTGAAAGAGAAAACAGATTTCAGTTCTTGTTCTGCCATTCACCAGATTCTATAGAATATGTTGCTTTCGTGACTAGCTGCATTAGTTACTGAACAGGATAGATGGAAGAGTTAAGAGCAGGATGCAAGCATGCTATAACTCAAATTTGTTCAATGTTCAGTATAGTGCGCAGTGTTGGGAAGTGAGATTTTAAATGATATTTTCAAGCTCTTTATACACAGAGAAGTTGTAATGGAAGGCTGCTTTTGAACCCCACTCTCAGTGCCAGGTTACAGGGAGGGTGGCTTCTGGTTTGTTGGATTCAAACCAAGTCGCATAGTGGGACTTGAGGCGGCATGTGAGCAAAACATGCCTGAAAATTAATGTGGAATTTATGAAAATATGTAATTTGAGTTTTGAAAATACATGGCCTTGTACATGTGGGGTGGAAAGAAAGCAATCTCATCTTGTGCCATATGTGTGCTTCCCAACGGATTCAGAAGTATACTGGTTTTAACCCAGCTGTTTGTATTGCTGCATTACTTACAACTGCTCTGCTGTTTGATTCTTGTAAAACTAGAATTGCCCGCTGTTCAGAAGAAAGAATAACGCAGTAGTTCTGTTCTGGAGAGGATAGAACTGTGTAAATTAGTAATTTAGTTTATATCGCTTGTCTCTTACACAAGGAAAGTAGCTAAAGCGAAATTAAATGTAAGTGTCGCTCTGTTTTTAGAAAGGGGTGGTTGAACCTTTTGGAGTTTTTGCACCAGCTTGTGAAGCAATTGCAAACATGTACAACATTGAACACTCGTTCCAAAAATTTTACGCATGAATCCAAGTCACCAGATGGCTGTTATTCTTGGATTTCAAAGTGACAACATTCTGTCCCTTAACTTTAATGCTTTACATTGCTGTGATGGAAAGCTTTTTGCTGAAATGTAGTTCCAGAGCATTTCTATAGTAAATGCTTTTTTCCCTCCACAGATTTTATCTTTAATATGTCCTAATAGCAACCATTTTTTCCCCCCGATCTTAAGAGGCCTTATGCATTATGAACTGCAAATTATCATAATGTTAAATTAACTACAGTTATTTTCTTTCCCTTTTTTTAGACGGATTAAAATGGGAAAATGTTGTATTTAATGGCCATTTATTTTCCTGAGCAGAAGCATGTTTTCGTTTTGAGTACCGGTAATGTACACTTTAGATTCTTAGAACGTTGCACATGTATCTACTTGTTTGATTTGCTTCTAAAGATCAATTGATTCAAATATGTTTTGAACACCTCTTGATATTTACAGTGCTGCAATTTAAAAGCAATCCATAAACACTGCACAAATGATATGAATCATCACCCAAAGGGCCGTGTTTTTGGTCGTCTAGGAATGCCAGCAGATGTTGAGAGCTTAAAGTGATGGTTTGAGAAACATGAATCCTGGCATTTTATAGGTATGTAACCTGCCCATCTGCTGGTCTTCACATTTAAAAAGGAACGTCTCACTGAAAGAGGAATGTAGCAAAGCATTATGCATAGCACTATGCGTCCCCTTTATTTTATAAGACAATTTATATGACAGTGTAATTAATCTATTTGAAGGTCATTTGCATGGGCACGTTGGAACTAGCTGGATTTACTCCCCTTCATGATAACTGTAGTTTGGGGACAGTAGCATTAACATGTTTTTTTTTCTGGAAGGAGGATGAAGGAGAGCAAGCTTAAAAGCCTTAAATTGTGGAATACTCAATTTCTGGGCAATGACTGACATGTTCAGAGATTGTTAAAGGATGTTAATCTACCTGAAGATTATCTGGCTTTCTAAACTTCAGAGAATGATTCACTAAGTTCGTTTTGACTTGCAGTTTCTGGTTGATGTTTTTTTTCCTTTCTCATTGTCTTGGGAGTCCGTAGTTGTCTATTATTCAGATTAAACGATCATCCATTAATTTGTTTTTTTGCTTCCTTGTCTTATATTAGTAATGCTAGCTTTAGCATTTGTAATGGTCTTACTAATAGCGGGATGTTAATGTTTGTTCGACGTCCTGAACATGAAATCTATTGCTTGAAATTTGCCTTTCTACTCCACAAAGCACTCGTTTAACAGAATTCCCATGAAACTTTGAATTTCCAAACCATCATGGGAAAATGCAAATCTTTGCTTGATATGCCTTTGAAGTGCGCTGCCTTTTGGAATGTACGATTGATCGATTTTTCATATGCCGCATCAGAGGATCCCGGAGTTGCAGCCCTACTGGTGGTTTATGGGCTGTTTTTAATAGAGGACCCTGGTGTTTGGCCTCAAGATAGGAATGACTCCACATGGTTCACTCCCCTCTAGTATTTGGGGTTGGTTTTATTGATTCCATTTGAGCACCCTCTTTTTGCAAAAAAACCCAAATGGCAGCTCAGTTTTCTGTGAAATGTTCTATTTTTGAAGAACTATCTTGGCACTTTCCTGTCATTACACTTGCTCGCGGGTATCCAGAGCTGAGAATGAACGTTCCTGTTGTGTTACTTTTGTTATTTCAGCCTTTTCTGTTTAATAAGCTATACATTATACTGTCGTTTTGATGACTTCACCAGAAATGTCTGCGCTGCCTTAATCAGGAAGAGAACAAACCCTTATTTATACTCGGAGGGTGCTTTTGGGGGGGGGGAAACCACTTGTAAAAATGGC